ATATTCATTTTTCGATAGAAAGTTAGTTTTAGAAAATCTCCTTAGATTGAGATTTCTTTCTATGTAACGTGTAGAAATTTCCTCTCACCACCCGTTCTTTGATTCCGGAGAAACTCATTAACACTCAGATTACAGGTCAATTATATTATATTCCTGTGCGAATTTCACCATGTAGCTCTAATAGTTTAGGATGATAAGAGCCATTGAAGAAATAAATTTTTGAGAGCCTTGCAAGTATGCCAAATACAAAGCTTTTATTTTAAGCTTCCTGGAGGCCACATTTCTCCTCCGGATATGAGAAACGTGACTTTTTCTAAAACTACGAGAATTTAGAAACACATGCGTGTCTCTAGAAATGATATATGTTATATATTTTGTGAAATATTCCAGTTTAATTTTTGTGATAAAAAATGTAAAGTTTCGTCGATCGTCCTATTTTCGCCATGTAACGGATTTTTTTGAAAACCACGGATAATGCATGAAATTTTATGGGAAATGCACTGGTGTAATTCATTTTTGGATTAGAAACCTAGTTTTTTAGAATTACGCAAATGTATCGTCATCAGAGTCAATTTCTTCCTAGTAACTGTAGAATAATTCCATCTCATGCCCGTTGTGAAAAACGGAAAAATTCTATTTAAGACTCAGATCAAAAGTCAATTTACGTAATATTTGGTGTGCGAATTTCAGCGCTGTAGCTCTAATAGTTTAGGAGATAGAGTTATTTGAAATAATAATTTGCAGAGCTTGCAAGATGCGAAAATACATAGCTTACTTTTAAGGTTCCTGGAGGCCACATTTCTCATCCAGATAAGAGACACACGACTTGTTCTAAAACAACAAGAATTTAGTAACACATGCGTGTGTCTAGAATTGATTTATGTTATATAGTTTGTAAAATTTTTAAGTTTAGTTTTTGTGTTAAAAAATGTAAAGTTTCTTCGATGGTAAATTCATTTGTGCTTTTCATTTTTTTATTTGAAGCATAGTTTAAGAGGAAATCGCGAATGTATCGCCAAAAATGTCAACTTTTTTATGATAGCAGTGTAGAATTTTTCTATTTCAATCACGTGGTGATGAACGGAGAATCTCTATTTAAGACTGACATTAAAGGTCAATATACATATTATTTCGTGTGTGAATTTCATCGCTGTAGCTCTCATTGTTTGCATTGTATACCTGGGTTACATAGTATAGTAACCTATACCTGGTTACAAATGTCTTAAGTGCAAGTCAGAACATTTTTAAACGACTGTTCAACTTCCCTAAAGATGTCAAAGGGGATAGGCTGGCATTTGTGGAGGCTAACAAAAGGTGTGTCAGGTTTTTTACCTACAAGTCAGAAAAGCGTTCAAAATGTAATTGGACTTGTTCTATTTGCAACAGGGCTTATCACAAACTTGTACATTTCGATAAGTTTCAATCTAAAGCTCCCCATGCAGCTGTTAGGTCAGCTGCAACTGCAGTCAGTCCAAGCCTTGGTATTAGTTGACCTCTGGCCTCTGTTTTCGCTGGGAGCGCGACGCATTTTGGAGTTGGCGGTGGCGTGCGCTCTTTTCGACCTTTGCTATCGACAGAGGGGCAGCGTCGGAAGGCTACTAAATGATAAGTGTTGTGAGATTTCGTTTCTGGATGTCGAGAGAATAACGGCAAAGATTAATTCTAGTTTGCCTGTGTATTAAAGACAGAATTGAAAAAGAAGCAAATCTGTGACATGTTTAATATTTGAACAGATGTTTTTAGAACTATAGCAAAGAACCAAGAGAAAGAGGCATTAATAATGATTTCTGTTTGAGAGTATAATTTTTGTATTATAGATGAAAAGTTTTGTAAAGTAAAATAAGATCTTTTGTAAAGGGAAATAAAGAATTTGAATCGTAAGTAAAAGCGGATTTGTTATGTAAATTTGATGTAAAAGTAAGTCTGTGCAAACGTGTGTATAATAAAATAATAAAATAGTAAAATTGCAAATGGGACCCCATTGTTTAGAGTAATTGCGAAAGGGTATCACGAATTGATATTCTGTAGATAAAAGAATCGATATTTATTTATCAATTATATGTTAGTCGTTGCTTTTTATTTCAAGGATTGAATAAATCCTCATTTTACCGAAATTTTTGTTAACGTTTAGTTCACATGCGATTTCCATCTAACGCTTCATCCTGCCTAGACCCCTGTACCTTCCAGATTATTCATATAATAATTCATGATTAATGTGGCAAAGTATCGTCACAGTAGTAACGCGGCGCCACGAACTACCGGAATTAGTGGGTTCGATTCCGCGACCACCGTACAATTTCCGGCGCTTTTGGAGTCGCACACTCCCGATCTCTCGCATACGTCTCTGGATTTGTCCATCACCATATCTGTCTCTGCTCACACTGCATACGCATCACCTCCACTCACGTCAGCTCTCACTCACACTCCCGTAGGCTTCTATCTACACATTCTATTCATCGGACATCTCCCGGGCTCCTCTGACTCCGCCCTCTCCCCGTACGCTTCTGTCACAAACGAACTCCACCTCTCGCTCGCGCGGTATGCTTCTGTCTGTCCGTCTCTCCGGGCTTCATCTGCAGCCGTCTCCTCCCTCGTCATGTGTCTAGCTTAGTCAGTCTGTGGGGATGTCTAGTGTCTGCGTCTAGAGAAGTGATTCGTCGGTTTGGTCACGTGAAAAATGAATCCCAGGTTTCTGTTCTTGGGCATCCCTGAGTATTGCGTCACCGGATCCCCTTCTCATTTGTCTTGTCAGCCGAGGGCAATCCCAAAGTGCTTCTTCACCGTCGGAGTTGGGGAAGTATCTTCCTGCATTTCCCAGATGTCGCACTTAGTGGTTCCCCGAAGGCACCACCAATGATTAAGGTTCATCTGAAGGACCCTCATTCATCCAACTTCGTTCCGCCTTGCGAAAAGCCTTTTGGTAATAGAGCACTTATAACTAACAGTTGCATGTGCCCCTCTGTATTTCCCATAGAGGAAATAATTAGGGGTCTTATTGTAGGTCTCAACAAAATGCCTTCCCTCACGACATCAATGAAAATTCTTGAAACTATCAGGCCCTATACAGTTTCTTGACAGGTGCCGAAAAGACCATCGCTTATAACACGATGTAACAACTATCTTCTCCCGAATGCGACACCTAACCCAGCCAATCTGAATTTCGTTCAATCGAACCGCTTTCCTGGCTTGATCTGCTGGTAGTGCAATCACGGTCGTTTGGATGCCACCGAAGGCGGTGCGAATGGACTTGGCTATTAGTTTCCTGTCCTTGGCTCCCTCCTGCTGACTCTCAGAGCCCTCAAGCGTTTCTCTGTCTCTCGTGGCTTCATCCAGATATTTAATCTTTAGGAGTATTTTCCGCTTTTCCTTTCAATTGACCGGCCACTGCAGTCTGAAACTGCGCTGTCTTCGAGCAGTCCCTCTCCAAAAGCATGTCTCCCGAGCCTTTCTTATTTAAAGCACATTCAAGCCCAGTTCTTCAAGCTTTCCGGCTTGGATGGAGCCCCGCTGAGGGAGGGGGTACTTGGAAGGAAAACATCATGTATAACCATGTTCTAGCAGTCGAGGATCAGCTCAGGCACAAAGTGTGCCCGTGCAGGGGACTAATTGATGAGGGCAATTGACGCTCCTGGAAACACCAATCTATCAATCGTAACAGAAATGTAAACTAGTGGTGCTAGAGATTGGCACAGACTTCCTAGGACTAGCTCGTTCCCTAATTCCTTTGATTTAGGTCTATAGTTTTGGTTTTGCCCCAGCCTCTTCCCAGCTGCCATCTACATCCCAAACTACATTTTTCCATATTTTCTCCATTTTTGCCTCCCCCAAACGTAGAACTGATACACGACTTTAAGAATATTATAGAAGAGTAAAACCTCATCTTATATGTAAATTTTCGTTGAAACATTTGGAGCTGTTTTTGAGAAGACGTTTGAGCTTTTCTCAAAATGCGCAAATTGCGTATTTTTACTCACAACTTTTGCGTTTTAGAGAAACTTCACAAGAAATTATTTGAAGCTATTGTACTCACAAATGGAATCAGAAATGAAAAAAAAACTTGCTTATATGTTTCGTTTAGGATGCCCAAACAAAAGATAAACTTCAGAATTGTGTACATTGTTAACAATAAGAGATTATTAATTTTGTCTTATTATAGAATACTTTCAGTTTATTGCTCATTTTTATTGAAGAATATACGAACGTGAGTGCCTTATTCAATTATTATTTTTGCTGCAAATTAATGCATTCCCATTGATCATAAATCTAATGATGCAATTCATGCAAAAAAATTAATAAATGTGTTGTAAATATACCTTGCTAATTTATAAGATAAACATATATTACTACTGAGAAAAATTAATGGCTTTTCCTTGGAGAAATTGTAGGTTGTTGTGTTTTTTAATAAAATACATTAATTATTAAAAGAAATGTTTATTTTTTTATGTTCAGGCAGTTATTGCTGGAATTATGTTATTTTTATGTCGGTATTACACATTTCAAAATGATGTTCTAGATAATCCCATTGCCTGTCAAGAAATGGTGTTCATTTCATAAATTGTGATCTTATATTAAAATAAAAATATACATACGAAATAGGCTCTTAATTCTATACATATACATATATCACATCTGTCATCATGGGACTTTCCATTTAAATGTTCTTCTGACTTAGGGTGAATCACTCCATCCTTCAAGTGACATTTAAGTTGAGCTAAAACGGTATTTAACAGTTATGAACAATTATTTATAAAGTATAATTTTTGATATATTATTGATGTTGCTTGCTGCATTTTAAGTAATACATGTATCTATTACTCACAGAAGCAAGTACATGATAGAGTATAGAACACAATAAGACTGTATGAGGAGAACAAATTATAATATGAACAATATCCTTAACCTCTGATGTGTGAGCAGCTTGTATGTACATTAATTTGCAACAAATTTTAGCTCAATGTTGAAATATTCAGGATTGAAAATGTATGTTTAATCAATAAGTCTGATCCACAAAATTGAACAAGAATGAGGTAATTTTCTCAGTGTACCATTATGATTATTATACTAATTGTCAAATTTGTGCAAATATAATATTTTACTCCAATCATGATTACCATCTCATTACCTTCAATTATTTTAATGTCACAAATATGAATATTCTTGAAGGTAGCAAACTCCTTAGATGCCATCACAATGCACTTGGGAAAAATTATTTTGATTGCTCAGTAATCTATACACATGCCACTATTTTTCACATTTATCTTGTCTGTGGCAGCAACAATGACGAAGATGATATGCACTGTTAGTCTGTGTAGACCTATAAAGTCTTCAAGCAAAATAAAATTGGAGCACTGCGCACAAAATTCATAGTTGCATTTTAGTAATAGTCCTTCAAAACAGTCTCATATAGAATTTCGATAGCTTCAATATACACTTTTGTTTCATTATCAAATAGTTCAAGTGGTCTTGATGTAGCTCATAAATCTCTCAATTATTCCATTAACTATTGCAATTCATCATCTTCAGAATGCTGAAATTACACACTTTTGTTTACAATAAGTCAACTCAAGGGAAGATAGGAACATCTAAAAAGAAATGTTGGCACTCCTTTCTTCTATTGTCTATGATAGGATCCTCTGCTGGCATATGTATTCATTGGTATGGATGGATGCTTTGTGCCATAAATATCACTCTGGTCGTAGTCAACATCATAATAGATGCCACTCTGGTTCTGGAAAAACAATAAAACATAGATAATTGGTTTGATGGAAGGTGATAAGTTAAACTATTATAAAACTTAAAAATAAAGAAACTATAATAATAATAATAATAATAATAATAATAATAATAATAATAATAATAATGATAAGTAGAAGAAGAAAAAGAAGAAGAAATCTTTGAAAAATAGATTTAAATAAGGGGAAAATCTCTATTTTCAATAATATAGTTGTAAGAAGATATCAAAAAAATTGAAACTTCGCAATTTTCTAAAAATCATATTTCAAAGACTCGCGCCATCCATTTAATACTCCTTTACACTAAACGAGGACAAAGCTTAATCACAAAATTATAAGCAATTTTTGAAAAATTTTTGAGATAGTGGTCGAAGCTTCAAGTAAAGTGTCCTCTAAAATCAAAATATCTGTTGCAAACACGTAGGTTCTTGAGTTCCTTCAAATCGATTGAGAAAAATTAATTTTGGAGAAAATCGTGTGAACGTTTTATGCGCTACCGATGACCACAGGCAGTTAGGCAGTCATGCAGACAGGCAAGCAGGCAGGCCGAAACACACAGACAGACAGAGAGACAGACAGACGATTAGCCATTAATCGATTTTTCGGTGTCAAGGACTCATAAAACATGGATTTCGACTACACAACGTGTTAGACGAAGTAATTTACTACGCACAGAAACATGATTTGTTCACTTTTTTGTTACCACGGCGTAGCAACAAGAGTTTTTTCTCGCGAAAAATCGTTTTCCGGAGCACGATTACACTTTATCTTCTCCCGAAGTAAGGTGAGGAAGTAAATAGAATGAACAGAAGTACGAAAACATTGACATTAAGTCTCAAATATAAAGCAATAAGTGTTGTAATCGTGCTCCGAAAAACAGCGAATTCTCGTGAGAAAAACTTTTGTTGCTGTATTTAAATATTTGTCGAAGAATTGCCGTGTTTGCATTTACCTAACAGTTACCAGAAGTTTGTTCCACACTCTGGTCATTGCTACTATATAAGATTTATTGTAAGCTTTAGTATTGCTTTTAAAAATACAGCTAGTCAGAATTTCTGGAATCTTCATGTTTTAAGATAAGAAAAATATTTTATGACGAGTAACGTACACCTTAATATAGAATTTTGAAAATAAGACACAAACTATGAAACTTGCGTTGTCATTTCAAATTCAATGTGTGATGCTTTGAAGTATCCTGATACGTGATCGTAATTGAAACACATGCATTTTTAACATATTCATGAAGAACATCAGTGGTTGATTTCCTTACATTGCCATACGCAACATCATAATCAAGGAGGAGGAGCAACAGGGATTTTCTGGTAGTTCTTTGATTTTGTCCAGAAGACATTTGTAAGAACATTTAAGTGAGTTCATTGAGGAACACACTTCGCCTCAAGATATCCAAACCAGGTTTCTTAGTTTAGGAATTTATGAATGGTCAGGCTGAGATTTTTCACACCAAAGCAGAAAGGTCACAATCGTTTTGTTAACACAGATTAAGTTTTTAAGATTAAGTTGTTCACATTTTAAGGGGTTTACCTGGGCTATTTCTCAGTGACTAAGTAAGGATACGAAATCGTGATTTGTTTTGCTAACTAATAGTCTGCAGTGCAGAAGTGGCATCGGAATGTATTTCAGGAGGGAGGGGAACGGACAATTTCATTTTGGAAACACCCCATAAAAAGTTTTGACATACATTGTTTTTAATTGTTAACTTGAAATTTAAAAATGTATATTCATAAAATATACTCCTTTCAAATATGCAATCAGAATATCCTTTCGAATCTGCAATCGATTAGTAATAATTGTATTCAGTAAATTTTATAAAAATACAAAAATTCCACCAGAAATGGCGCTGGTTAAGCAGGGAAACAAAACCAATTATGTAAAGAAGACGTTTTCTAAAAACAAGCAAACAAACAAACATAATAGTGGGCAGAAGGCGACTGCGACTTATAACAGACTGTGCCAAAGCCTGTATGTGGTTCTGGACGTGGATCAGCTACGATAGATGCCTACGGCTGGTCGAACGGGACCAGGCGGAGCGGAGAGATAGGCGAGACTGTGAGTGACGAGGTAAGGGAGGGGAGGTGCGGAGAGAGGCCTGACAAAGAGATCATAAGCGAGTCGCCAAGAGAGAGGAGAGAGGAGAGAGGGTGACGGGAAAATGGAAACGATTGATTGATTATATCCTGTTTCCGGGCGCGTCAACTGCTATGAACATTAGTACCGTGAGTGTAATGCATGTTTTTATCAACGGAACGTGGCCGTGTTCTTTACTCCTGGCTGGTGAGATCCGGCGCCGACCTACTAGTCGGTTTGCGGGGTTTTCGCGATCAATCACATCAACAAGGGAACCGCCCCAGCCGGGACAAGCTCTGACCTGCCGACTGGACACAAGAGTAGCGTGGTGAAGGGTGGAGGGAGAGAGGACGTGGGGAGAAGGAGATTCGGCGAAGGGGTGAAAAGAGGCGAGGCGGAGCTAGGCAGGTCTATGAATGTCTGGGAGTGGGGCGGGGTGAGCGGGGCTGGGTTGCGTAGGGCTGGGGAGACACTTACGGCAACGGAGGAGCGGCTCTTGGGGCGCGGCACGTGGAAGCTGCGGCCGCCCAGCAGGTCCGCGCGGTCCTCGTCGTCGCCGCTGCTGCAGTTGTCGATGGTGCGCGCGCCGCTGCCTGCGCGCGTGCTGGGCGCCGGCGGCGGGGGTGGGGCGCCCTGCGGCGCGGGCGGCGGCGGCAGGAGGCCGTGCAGCCCCAGGCGCGGCAGCGGCGCCGGCGGCAGCGTGGCTGTGAGGGCGGCGGGCAGCGCTGGGTAGCCGAACACGGCGGACGACGGCCGCGTCGGCACCGTGCCTCCCGGCTCGGGCTGCTGGCACGCCAGCGGCGTCTGCGAACGCGCACCGCACACACCGTTCTTACACTTGGGCACAGCACCCCCACAGACCGCGCGGCGCGCGTGGCACACCGCGGAGAGCACACCGCGGAGCGCACACCGCGGAGCGCACACCACAGACCAGCATCAACACCATGGAGCAGACGCCATGGACCCCAAAAGTCGGCGGCGATGGTGTAACGGTTAGCGTATCGCATTGTTATACCTAAGTTCGCGGTTTCAAACGTAATCGAAGTTGTGGATTTTTAGGGCGAAAAAAATCCTTCGCTCGCTTTCCTTCGGAGGAGAAGTAAAGACGGCTGTTCCATGTAAGTAGATTTACTGCATGTTAAAGAACCTCAAGCCTAAATGATGCATCTGAGCTAAATTCAAATCGCCTGTTTCGTCGTCCAAGATATACCTTCTTTCTCCGCTAGTTGGTGAAAGGAACGCGAAATTTGCGTGATGAAATGTGTCAGACGGAAGAGCAGCATCATGGCCTGAGTCTCGCGACGTAAAATAAGGCATCAAGACATATCAGGGGGAAAAAACACTTTTTTGGTATCAACGAGCTATAAAACTTAGATTATGACTACGACACGTATTTGAGAAAGTCATTTACTACATATAAAAGCATGAAATCCAGTTTTTCGGTGTAGAGTTTTTTGAAATCACTTTTTCCTGTATAACATAATTTTCTCTTTCTACAAGTAGATACGATAAAGTGAAATCTGTCTCTTAATGTTTCTTATAAATAGTTGTACTGTACATTCATATATATATTGGAAGCTTTAAAAAAATGCACTTTTTTGCATAGTCTTTATGTATGAATGGTTCGTTTAGGCCAATAGACGATTTTTGTAGAGCTTCTAAATCAGATGAACATCATCGAAACGAGCATCGCTCTGGGAAAGGAAATTTTCCACCATCCATATTGGCTGGAGTGTCAACTGTTAATGCCTCAAAGAGCCAGTTCAGTGCGTGTAGTTGGAGGTTAGGGATGGTTTTCACGAGCGATTTATATTGTTGATATATTGCTATCATTACCTACACTATTACTGAATATAATATTTTAATATTCGATAACAATCATTTACAAAAAAGCAAATAAAAATGTATATGCACGTGAATTAAGTCATCAAACGAATGTAAACGGTCAGGTTATAAATACCGAATTTCACGGAGTTCGCGTTATTTGCTTTATTAATTTAACTCGCAATATACTAAATTTTAATCACAGAATTAAGAGTAATATAGAAAAGAAGCCATTAATTGCAATTTTCTTGGACTGCAGCTAAAAAAATTCATTGAAATCATGCCAACATCCTCCAGTTGGTGGAAAGGTCAGGAGTAATGAGGCAGGAAAGGTAGGGAATACGAACCAGTTCGCCAATGTTTTGTGAATAATTGTGAACAATTTCTAAGTGTTTGTCACCGACCAATCCCCAATTTCGTTTGGTATCGATGATTGTCAAAGAAATGGTTCAAATGACTGAACAGACTATATTTCTGTTCTACGTTCCTTTCAGTGCCTTCAGAAGTTCCCTTTTACACCGTGAAACCTTACCAGTCACCCCTCCCATCGCGCAAATGTGGCTCATGAGCCCTTTTTCGGTCATTTTGCATACTGTGTTGGACAAGCATAACTCGTGAGCCCATTGCGCTCATTCCAGTTCGGGAAGTCTCTAGAATTGACGGCGTAAGGCCAACAGGAGCTCGGGGCCAGTGAATGTGACCTTCGCTGAGAGGGACTCAATGGACATCTTGGATTACCCTCTTGGGAGGTAGGATATGGGGAGTATATTTGCATCCTTTACCTTTGTTTTGAAGCTGGAGGAAATTAAGGTCAGTTTTTGGAAAATGATCGGTCACGGCTGGTGCATATAAATACGACTAAAGTGGTGGGAGACGGGCCAATGAGGTGCCTTATTTTTTTCCCTTCGACTTCCTAATGCAAGCAAGAAGCGCGCTAACGCTCTAAGGCAGGTTGCGGCTCACCGAGTAGTGGTTGGCCTGCGCCATTACGTCTGCGATCTGCGCCCAGCGCAGACGGTCCTCCAGCGACACCTGGTAGGGCGGGCCGCCCACGGCGGGAGTCTTGACGGTGCCGCCAGCGGCGCCCAGGTACCCGAACACCGGCGACCCCACGGCCGCCTTCTGCTCGCGCTGCCACCGCCGGCTGCGCAGCGCACATGCGCACACTGCGATTAGCTTTGGAGGTCTGACACACATGTCAAAATAGAGAGACCCGTACCAAACTAGAGAGACTCCTGTCAAAACAGAGACCCCTGTCAAAATAGAAAGACCCCTGACAAAATAGAGAGCCCCAGTGAAAATAGGGAGATCCATGTCATAATAGAGAGACCCCTGTCAACACAGAGAGGCTCCTGTCAAAATAGAGAGACCCTAGTGAAAATGGAGAGACCACTATCATAAGAGACCCATCTCAAAACAGAGAGATCCATGTCAAAATAGAGGGCCCCATGTAAAAACAGGGAAACCATTGTCAAAATAGAGTCACTCATAATAGTAAGGAGTAGTAATAATACCCATACAAAAATACTAGTGAGACCCATTGTAAAATAGTATCGAAAGCCATATCTAAATCGTGTTTGGATAACTTAAAAAATTATGAAAATAAGTAATCGAAGATGCATGCTTTCTTTTTCCTTAACAATTTTTCAAATATGTTTTATCAGATTTCATTGTTAGGATGTTCAGCAATAGCGTGATTAGTAGTGTGTATTCCGAGCAAATAATTCTCATAAGCTTGACATGGTGGAGGTTTCATACTTTGAGAGTACTGAAGCGCACTAAGTGCCATTTATTGTAGAAGAAGGGAAACTGGGAGCGTTCGCGGATCCAGACGAGGGGGCCACTCTCCCACAAAGCCAATTTTTGTTTGTAATTTTACTCAATTAAAAAACGAATATTGATCGCACCTCGTCCAAAGAGACGTTCTCAGAATTAATATATATATTTTTTATTTCAAGCTAACATTTTTTATTCCAAAAATATTTACGGAGGAATGCGAATTGAAATTGCCCTCTTCTGAAATACGTTCTGGATCCGCCCCTGAGTGTATTTAATATGGTTTGATTTTTATGTATTTCGTCAAAAAAACAGTAAAAATCATGTTATGAGCTTCCAAACCTCTACCTGCACACTTTACGTACTTGAATGATGAATTAAAGTGTCAACAGAGCGTGATTAGAAATATTTGAAGAGTATAAATTTTCACTTTCTTTTAATATCGGAGTAATATTTATTTGCATCGCTAAACGAACTACAAATTTGATGATATTGTATTGAGAACAAAATAGTAACCGCCATCCCCAGTTCTTCACCTACCACTAGAAACAAAAGGAGAGACAAGAAAACGTGCCTACAGTGAATCTACATTTATGTCCTGTTCTTGGCTCGACAGCCCGCTACGTGCCTTGGCCGACCAGCAATAACCCAGCCTCTCGGCCATGGGATAAGGGTCTCGTGTGGCTAGCAAGAAGACATCTCTTCACCGTACATTCTGGTCTTCATAACCTTCTGGTGGGCTTTCTCATCGTCACACAGCAGTAGAACTGGGATCTTTGTAAGGAAAGCGCCCAGTTATTATCTTGCCCCGGTCGGGAATCGAACCCGGGGTTGCGCCGTGAAAAGAGAGCACGCTATGCGTGATCTGGGCTGTTTGGGTGACGCCGCGGCGAAGGCTGTGTTGCCGACGTTTCGACCATATTGTCGTGGTCTTCCTCAGGGCTGGTATGCATACAGCCTTCGGCGCGGCGTCACCCGGACAGCCCAAATCACGCACATGACTCTGGAAGCCTACGACTTCAGAGAGCACGCTAACCAACGGGCCACCCGAGAGGGTCTACAATCATACCCCGGAGCAAAACAAGGGATGAAGTGAGCATTTGCTCTAAGGATCAGGGATACTGGCCCGAAAACCTGACCGAGATGGGCGAAGAGAGAGAGAGAGAGAGAGAGAGAGAGAGAGAGAGAGAGAGAGAGAGAGAGAGAGACTCACCTCCACATGCAGAGGCAGACGAGGGTGAGCGCGATGATGACGACGGCGGCGACGGACGCGCCCACCGCCACGCCCAGCACCTCGCCGTCCACCTCACACTGCGCGCCGTAGAAGTTGCCCGTGCACCTGCGGACGCACGCACGCACAGTTTCAGCACACGCACCGGCGCGCGCGATGGCGATTTCATGCGCACACTTCACGTGTAGACGTGCAGGTTTATGATTGCATTTGTAGTGTATTGTTGGTGAGGTGATAGAGCAGTAAAATTTGCTCAATGCGAAATATCAAGGGACCAATATTTTTAGTTTCTTGTTAGACAGTAGAGAGAAAGTTATGTAATGCTGCGCGAAAAATTGGCGAATTTTTCGCAGATTAACTCTTATCACAGGGCCCTGGTAAGAAAAATTAGATAAATCCAGTTGCTAAATTAAGAACAAAATCATCCAATACGTGGTATAGCCGTATCCATGTCTCGTGGGTCCTTGATACCGAAAAATCGAATGGCAGCAAATGTCTGTCTGACCATCTGTGAACAAACGCTAGCTGCTAAACCGTTCAGCCGATTTTCTCCAAAATTGGTATATCCCAATCGATCTGGCTGATGTCGCGGCCCCTTGAATTTGAAATCATATTTTACTTTTGGGGGGTACTTTACGTGAAGCTCCTGGGAAATTTTCCAAATTTTCAAAAAAAAGACACTATCTTTTTTGGATTCGATTTTGTTGTTGTATAGTGTGAACGACCTTCAAGACAATGGTGCAGGTCTCATGTTCGTTTAAAACCCTGATTTTTCGCAAATTTCAAAAATTCAAATTTTTTCAGCTGTTCCTACAACTATAATTATGAAGATAGAGACTTTCTCCTTTAATGAAATTAGTTCCTTAAAGATAGATTTTGAAATAAGGTCTTGTACAATTTTTCGAAAATCTGAGTACTTTTCGCGTAATTTTGTGTGAAATTACAGGCGAGCAAGTATGTGCTATTTTCGCACCACTAGTTTCTACATTAAACAAGATCCTCATTATACAATTTAATACTTTAGAATTTACGTTTGTCATGCGCGCGGTTTGTTTAAATTGAAAAGATTTTCTCATTATAAATGTTCTGCATTGCCTAAATTTTACTGTCGAGGGCGTGAGTGGATGTGTGGTGATGGTGCTAAAATGGATGCGGTGGTGTGGTGATGTCACAATTGTGTTGTGGTAGTGTGGTGAAGTTGCATTGGTGCAGGTGTAGCATTGATGACGAAGTATCGGTGAGGTGAAATGTCGATGAGTTGTACTGTTGATGCGGCGTTGAGGCGTGGTATAGTGCCCAAGGTGTCTTGGTGGAGAGGTAGCGTTGGTGCGGTGTGGTGTGGCGTTGCTGTGGTGTACTGAAGAGATGGTGACAGGTGGTGTAACGTTGGTGAGGTGTCGTGTAGCGTTGATGCGGTTTCGTGAAGAGTTGGTGAGGTGCGGAGTAGTGTTGGTGAGATAAGTTGTCATGGTGGAAAGATAGCGTTGGTGAGATGTGTTGTATCGTTGATGAGGTATAGTGTAGCGTTGGTAAGATGTGGTGTAGCATTGATGAGGAGTGATGCAGCGGTGGTAAGATGTGATGTAGAGTTGACGAGGTGAGAGGTAGCGTCGGTGAGGTGTCATGAAGCGTTTGTGCGAGGTTGTATAGTGGCCATGAGGTGTCAAGGTGAAGAGATAGCGTTGGTGAGGTGTAGTATCAATTTGATGAGGTGGAGCGTAGCGTGGGTGAGGTGTTGAATAGCTTAAGTGAAGTGTGCAGTACCGTTAGTAAGGATTGGTGTAGAGTTGATTAGGGGAAATTTAGCGTTGGTGAGGTGTTTAGAGTTGGTTGGAGAGGTATAGCGTTGCTGCGAGGTGGTGTGGCGTTCGTAAGGTGTGGTGAAACGTCGGTGAGTTGTGGCGCTGTGGCGCTGGCGGGGTGAGGCGCGGCGGCGTGACTCACGTGCAGACGGGCTGGCCCTGGGCGTCGTAGTGGCAGGCGCCGCGCGCGGGGCCGCCGCAGTGCTCGGGCGGGCAGGGCTCGCAGGCGCGGCCGGCGCGCGCGGGCTGGTCGGCCCAGGGGTCGCGCAGGCCCTCGGCGCACGCGCAGCGGAAGCCGCCGAACACGTTGGAGCAGACGGCGCGCGGGTGGCAGTCGTGCAGCTCGGGCCGCGCGCACTCGTCCACGTCTGCACACACCCCGCGCCGAACAGGAAGATTGCAATTATGTGCTTGTAATATCATGAAACCTTCAGACCAGCCGCCAGTGCTGCCGAGAAAAAGTCTCGCTCCCGACACAAAGATGTATGTGATCCCTTCTAAAAAATGTTACAAGCATATTTATGTTTGTGTTTTTAAACAGCAATTTTAGTTAGGACAATGAGTACAATGTTATTGACGTTAAAATTGTACAGTTGTAGAAAATGTGTTTAAATTCTTTGCAGCTTAAATGTAAGGAAAATACTCTTCTTTAAAACGTATCATTGCATTATGTGCCCAAAGAAAAATAAAATACCAGCAATACCTCTACCTTTACCTCTAAACAATTGCACACTTCTCTCTCAAAAACCTCCAGTGGTAAAATATCTTTGGACGTTGTTAATAATTCTGTGACATATTCTTATATGTTTTATTCATACAAGTGAGCCAATGTTTGTGAAAAAATGTAAATACTTTGTGCATGTTTATCGCCGACCACGCCCCAATTTAATTTGGCATCGATGAGTGTCGCAAAAATCTCTCATATGACTGAACAGCCAATAGCTCCCCTGCATCGGCCTCCAGAGATCAGAGAAAGAGGAGGACGAGGAGGAGGAGAAGGAGATGGAGAAAAAAGAGGAGGTGGGGCAGAGGAGGAGAAGAAGAAGAAGGGGAAGGTGGAGGCTTTCGTGACATAACGGTTAGCGTATCGGGGTGCTGGACCCAAGTTTACGGGTCTAAGCCGATCGAAGCCGTGAATTTTTAAGGGCGAAAAAATCATTCAAACGCTTTCCTTCGGAAAGAAGTTAAGCCAGTTGTCCCATGTTGTAGATTCACCGCATGCAAAATATCCTCAGGCGTACAAGAAGCGTATGAGCTAAATTTAAAATTGCCTGCTTCATTACCTGAGCGACACCTTCATTCTCCGCTAAGTGGTGAAAAGAGTATACCGAAATTTGCGCGGTCTGACGGAAGGAAGAGCGAGCTCGATAGCCCGAGTCTCGCCGTATAAAGCAAGGAATAATTAAATTGAGAAGGCGCTTACCTTGCAAGTGCGAGACGGCGCCGGCGGGCGCGTCCACCCACAGCGCCGACTCGCCCACGTTGTTGGCGCGGCGGTGGATGACGCCGAGCAGGTGGCGCTGCACGTCGTGGCGCACGGCCGGCCGCAGCGTCTCGGCCGTCTCCTCCAGCTGCAGCGTGAGGTTGACGAAGACCGGCGCCGCGGTGCCCGGCGCCGCGTACACGCCGTTGACGCGCGCCCCCAGGAAGTCGTCGGAGAAGGGCGTCATGGACATGGCCGAGTCCACCTGCGCACGCCGCGCGCCACCCGGAGGGCGATCAAGGAATGAGCGGGGTAGGCACGCGCGGAGTTGGATAGGGGCTCCCCATATTTTTTTTAACAATAAAATTTTATACAGTAAACCCTTGTTAGCATGAACTGGCTTAACACAAATTTCGCTGTAACATGAACCAAACTTGGGTCCCTGCGAGGGATTACGTAAAACGGACATTTATAATAATCAAATAAGAATAATTTTCACAACACCAACTCTGATTATTGCGCGTTAATGATGGTTTACTGTATTAGGATACAAACACCAGTAGAGGCTACTGCGTCAGTAGTCGCTACTTCGAGCACAAAATTAAGAATTGGATGAATCCTACTAGCTTCAAACTTGCAATACGTGTAACTTCTATTTTCTAGCGGCGAGGAAATTTTTTTTTATATTTAAAAGATAAGTTGAAAACGTATTAGCGTAGCCATTGCAATAATGCAATGTTGCATGTTTTAAGATTTCGTGTCTCGGATACGTTCAGAATATCAAATGGCCATTACAGAGTCAAGTAACTAAAAATTGCTAACATTTTGCAATTTTCTAGTGGCCACTACTGAATCAAAATCGAGATTTGGAAATACATTAACAAAAATAGAAAAATTGAAAATTGGCCGTGTTAGGCGAAGGAGCTATTTATGACGATGAATGATTATCACTCATGAATTTCTAATAACGAATTTAGAACTGTAGCCCAAGAATTTTGAGAAAACTACGGCAATATTTTTTAACCGTGGCCATTTCTGGTGCTTTTACTCTTGCTCATAATGAGTAAAAATAGTATTTCATTATTCGGTTAATTTGTGTTGTATTTATTTTTTTTTAATTGCGAAGGTACAAGTGTAATTTTTATATTAAATTTGAGAACTCAAATTTAATATTTTATTATTAGTAAATACCCACTGCCCCTTCGACAAAGTGTGGTTTACGGTTTGGTAACCTTCAGTGCTTCTTAAGATAATAATCCCGCAACGCATTCACAACTACCAAGGTTACAAAGTTTTGAATCGAACTGGTTATAGTGGGAAGTTATCAGACTGATTTCCTAAATTCAAGTTCACGGATTCAAACCCAGCTAGGTATATTCAATAAGTGTAAAATCCTTTGACGTGTCATGTCATGCATCGGGCATGTAAAAGAAACCTGTTTAAATGCCCGACAGAATTGAATAATGAGATCCCATCATTGCTGAGCCGGGGAATGTGACACAAGAAATGAGTGAATATCTCTGAGATCGTTATCAGTCCCTGATGGCGAATAACAGTTGGTAACATTTTTTAATTTATTTATTTAATGTCAAATCTCTGTCTATATATAAATATCTAACTGCTAGATAAGGGCAAATTTAAACGGCGTGATGCAAAGCAACGGCCACGCAGCATTTCCTCTCTGGTTCAAGGAAAACTGAACGATAACTCGATCGAGATGGTGTCAATCACCCAAAAGTCATTTAAAATAATAAATAATTGTTGTGCACAGTAAATTAAATGAAAGAGAGTCGACCTGTGATAATAGACGGAGTTCTATGCCAATCAACAATCCCCGAACGAGAGGCCTCTCCAGGCTACTCACCGCTCGGCTAGCCTCCCACTGCAGCTGCTGGTACATCTCGGACGAAGGGTCCTGCAGGTCACTGGACCACACCACACGTCGCTCGTACAGGCGATCCACACGCAGCGACATCAGCATGGACACGATACCTGCGGAGGGCAGCGCAAGGCGGGGCACAGGTGGGATTAGTCGGGGCACTTTTTGGTTCATTTAATGCCGACAGTTGAGACATCCAGTTAGTTAGGGAGCTGACCCACAAAATTCAAAATTGATTTTTTTACATATTCATTATGTTCATAACAGAATGTTTATAAATCGATATTTTGAATTTTGTGGGTTACCTCCCTCTCTCGCTGGGTGCTTCAACTATTTCAGATATTTTGTCGGGACAGGAAAGTAATATTTAACGTCTAGAAGCAAAACAAGGGCAAATGCTAGCATTTCCTTTAAGGTTCTAGGGAAATTACGAAAAAGCTAAGATGATGGTTATATAACGAAAAGTCTTTACAGTATTTGTAGAAGGCATTTCGCAGTAGTGCACAACATAAACGATAACATGAATTCACCAGGTGCACAAATGTGAATTCATGTGACTGATTGCATGAATTTACCAGGTTTACATCTGTATCCTTATTACGTGTGTTTTTTTGTTTGTTTTAGTTTCGGTACTTAATAGAATATCTTCATAATGTGATAAAGCACAATCACATACAACAAGGATTGTACTTGACGTTTCATGTAAATGATTACGGTTTTTAATGACATCTGGTGGTGTGTTGCAGAGTACATGAAATGTATGTTGATTGTGCTTTTGAGACTGAATAATTATAATTTTCTTTATTCGTGTATTATAATTACAGATCTCTCATTCATGAAAATAGGCAACCTCCTCTGGGTAAATCGATTTCAACAAAACCCATTCTCGTCATTATGGTTCAGGTGATATTAGATTTACATATCTGACTTATGATGTAGTTTAGAGCCACGCTCAGGGAAGTGGCAAGGGGAGACTCGAGGATTCCCTGTAAGCAATTCCCTAAAAAAATATTCATTCCAGGATATACTCGTATTAGTGTGATTCCAGTTCCTGGTGCATTCAGGGACGGTGAATTATTTAATGGATGATGTTAACTTATGATATTGAGAGCATTGGAGAATGATGTTGGGATGGAGCAATGATAAAAAATGGTAAAATGAAAGGCATGGGAAACGGGGGAAATGCCTAGAAACCGCTCGCAAACCGTCGTTCTCCACTGCAAATTCCAAATGACATGGCTGCTTTTCGAACCCCGTTACACACAGGTAGCAACCCATCGTTAAGGTTGTTACGGCTCTTCTCATTCAAAGATAGTTCCGAGAAATGAGTTATTTATTCCCTGGCATTGTTGAATTGTTCAGAGACGTAACGGAATGTATAATTCTCCTCTCTCCTTGGCGTGATTTTCGAATGTTTAATAAAATTAGTAAGGAACTATGTAATTTAAAGTATTATTAATTGTGTATCTAATCACGTTTCTAAGATTTATTAACCCTTAGCTTTACTAAAATTGGAAATCATTGAATGCATAAGCGGAAAATGAAAAGGATTGAATTTTAATTTTCCCATTTTATGGTTAGTTGTGTAATATAAAATAAATTTTTATTCATTATTTTTGGAGACTTTCAAATTACTTTGTTGAAGATATAGCATGAAGAAACCATTTTCACTGCAACAAATAAAGCAAATTATCCATCAGGAAATATGGTCTATCAAGTAATGCCATAGTCTCTATCGATTTTAATAGTTTTATGATGTTTTACTATAGCAATATTCTCTCGCATTATTTGACGAAAGATATTTTAGAATATCAAATATGACGAAGTTGAAAACGAAGTGACCATTTTATCGTTTGACATGAGAAAATTAGCGCTCTACTAATTACAAATTTATCATAAAAAGTGACAAAAAGTGCAAGTTCATAAAACTAATTGCGGGGTAAATGAAATGATAGTTGATTCAATTTTAGTATTCAACTTCTCCGCAGGGATAATTCAATTACAAAAGTACTGTAGACATTAGCACAATTGCAAATTTATATACGTTTTTGTAAAATTATATCGTGGAGGAAATTGTAATTAATATTTAATAAAAATTGTAAATCATCCCCAAAAATGTCGTTTTTTAGAAAAAAACTAGTCAAAGCGTTTACTCCTATCAAATACAATTTTATACGTCTGTTTATTCAATTATTTAAAGAAATATTAAAAATACTGTTTAAGAATGATAAATGAAAAAATTGAAAAACTATACGCATTTATTTTCTTTCTAAAATCAAAAGTTAGGTAGGAATTCGTAGAAATTTTACAATATCACGAATTGCTGACTCCGGGCCCCATTCTATCTCCGCGATGTGACACGTGAGTCAATGACGGTAATGTTCCTACTTTTTCCTAATCCAAGCGTAGCTCGCGAGCCTATCTATACTTCGTATATTTCATTCGAAGGGCGTCCGGAAGCACCGGGATGGCGCAAAGACATTGCACGTTATTACCGCTCTCATGGTACTGCCTTTGAAAATTATTCAGAGTCCCGCAAGACCAGGTGGTTACAGTGTGTACAACCTGTCGCGCAGAACTGAAGACATAGTGCAAGAGCCTTAGCGGGTTTTGGCAACGGTCGTTATTGTATTTAACATAAAAGAGAGTGAGTGTGTAGAGGCTGACTTGGCCTTTCATTTTCCGCCCGGAAGATGAATGTGAAAATCCACGACTGGGCTATGTTAACGCGTTGCCGTCTATATTTCTGTTAATTCCCTGCCTACTAATCAAATAAACTGTATTCTTCACTAAAAAGATCATCATTCTTTATACCACCTTCCTTTGAGTTGGTTTTCATTTTCACTTCCATTTACTTTCACTCATTAACCCAGACACAACGGAGTTTTTTGTGGCGTTTCTCCCATCAAATATGGCTAATTATCAACAAATGCAATTGCAGTATTTATTCCAAGAAGGATTGAGGATATAACAATGTAGTAAGGATATATTAAAATAAATAATGTTGATATAATAAAATAAAGGCTATTTGACATTGAAATTCGTAAGAGAAATGTACTATATACATATACAGAATAATCGATTAAATACAAGAGAAACAGTTGAGTATCTAGGAATAAACCAACACTATTCAGAGGTATCGATACTAAAGTATCGATGTTCGTTCTCGTTAATTGGCAATTTTGTGATCAGTTCAAATTAAAAATATATTTCTACGGTAGGCATGAACTTGTAATAAGTGATTTCGGAAATTTAAAAATACAAGAACATTGTTCTGGAGCATAAATAATATAACGAGTATAAGTTATTACCGCATTACGAGAGACGGAATGAGGTAAGGATTGATAAGAGAGGGGAGGACAACGAGAATTCAATTACAATGATAATGAACTAGTGGCAGGATAGGTTAGTTCACGGGGTTCCTGAAAGTGTTATTATCTTCACTGAATAACATTTCTCTTTCGTCTCAAACGTTTATTTCCGGCATGCTTTTTGGCATATAACTTTTCTTCCGATATTTCATTCTGACTCAAATGGCGCAACGCAGATATTTTGATGAGGTAGGTCTGTCACAGTCTCCTCGCAATCTGCTCGTCAAAGTTGGGTTGGCGGAAATTGGCAATAAACGTATCACCAACAAACTGTTTTCGGACGTGTGCAGTACGTTGCGCGACATGTTCGCTTCTCTGCGCTTGGATGAAGAGCAAGATAGCGTGATTGTCTCCGGAGAGTCCGCTATCTGTTCAACGAACGATGTCTCTTCCACTGTAATTCTGTCTACACGACATACGGGTTTCGGCCGAATGCGTTATGTGTCATTCACGATTCAGCGAGTTCTTTTGTTGAGGCATTTGTACGGATTGATACTGGTTTCTGCCTGCCTCAGCGTCGCGGGAGCAACGTCTGAGTTCGCGGAACGAAGGTTGCGTGTTGCTATAACATTGGTGTTTTCACCATGGGTTTGTGAAAGGATTGGTTTTCCATACCACTAGTCAACATTCGAATCTTCCCATTCATAATCATTCATCTCTCATCACTATTCACCCTTCACGGTTATCATAGTTAAGACCACAAGTGCTTTGGAATTTATCTGCGAATTTTCAAAGCACGAGTGGTATTTAATAGAACTATTCCACAAGTGAAATTATGTCCAACAGAGTTCCAAAATGCGCCAAATATTGAAAATAACTCAACGCCTCCTAAGATAGATAATCACAGTTTATGATTGCCCAGTTGGTAAAAGCGGTAAGAAAAATCGCATAGAAAAATCGATAAACTATTGAGATACACCACCCTGATTGGGACATTTTGTATGTATAGTTAAACACTATTGGTTTTAATTTCACTAGTGGAATAGTCCATATAATCATACGCGTACACTAATAGCAAACCACTAGTGAGATAGGGCTTTACTTCCTGTCACATCTGCGCCGGCGAAGTGAGTATGACACTCGTCATAATCGGTTTTCTTCATATCTTCGCGCATATCGGACATCAGCATCTTTATGTTGTGTCAAGATTAATACTATTCAACGCGCGCAAACATGCTCCATTTTTACGAGTTAACGAGTACCTGCACATTTGGTATATTTCAGTCATACTCTAATGGGCAGTCCTATTTCGATTATCCATAGTCATATCAAATTAACGAAAAAAATTATAATTGAAATTGCCGATCGAGATTCTAATTTTTCATAATTAATTTTACTTATTTTCTTCAACATATTCATCAGCACCTTTATCGTTACATCCTTTCGCATTTCCAAAATGATCTTCTGTGGTATAAAGTTGAATATAATTATTTTTCCCTTCATGCTTCTCCCTCCATTTTTACAGAAACAAAAATGATTTGTTTCGTATGATGATGAAAATATGATCTATTATTAATTGAGAGAGTGTGGAAACACGTTAATACTCTTATACTGAGAATAGAAATAGCTTTATTACTGTTTACCGTTACTGCTCCTTTTATATTTGTGTAGTGGATGAAAATAGCCAGTCTGACGATTGTTAAAACGCAAAATTTCCTACAATATACGTAGAATAAGACGATTTCAATGATAAAAATAAAAAATAGCACACCCCGTAGAATACATAGCAATCCAGTGAAGTTGTGACGTGTGTAACGCTATTTTTTCTGTAAAGTGTCAGTACTATGTCACGTATTGCTGTAGAAATTTGAAAGGGAAATAAAGTAATTAAAATTTATTTTCTAGGGTAAAACGAGATCAAGGGGTGCATGTTTCCTTATTTGGGCGTATGCGGGTGACGCGTGGCCACACGGCCAAGAAGAGCAAGAGGCAGAACCATGGGCCAAAGACAAGAGTCAAGGACCAGGGTCTAGAGAAATACCCAGGAGCAAGGCCAAGACGCAAGGTTGAGAAGCTAGGGTCAAGGCCTATGTTCTAGGGCAAGAGGTAATATTCAAATGGCAAGGTCCAAGAACACTGCCTAGGAAGTAAGTGCTAGAATCAAGGGCCAAGGCCAAAAGGCCACGACCAAGAACAATGGCCACGATCAACCGAGAAAGGCAAAAACCAAGAGGCAAGGGCCGAGAAGCAGTTTTCAGGGCCAAGCAGAGTGTCACTGAATAGCATCAACGGCCTGGATCTAAGGGCCAAGGCCAAAAGGCCAGGACCAATGACTACGATCAGCCGAGAAAGGCAAGGACCAAGGTGCAAGAGGCTAGGCTCGAGAAGCAAGTATCAGGGCCCAGCCATTGGATAGCATCAATGGCCAGGATCCAGGGTCAAATGCAAGGACAGAAATTCAACATCAAAAGCAACGCTGCGTTGCCCAGTACCCAGTGCGAAGCCGCGCAGACCAGAGCGAAGGTCCTGTGCGCGGGGCAGGTACTCACGTCGGCAGGGCTCGCGGTGCTTGCGACGGCTGTAGCCCGGGCGGCAATGGCACGCGCTCACGCCGTGCTCGGTGCGGCAGCGCTCGTGCTGCGCCTCGTCGCACGTGCTGGCGTCGCCCACGATGCACGTGTCGATGCGCACGGGCGGCTGCGCGGGCGGGGCGGGTCGACGCGGGCCTCCGTAGGGCGGTGGGCGCGCGGGCGACGCCGGCGCGGACGCCCCGACACCTACGCCCACGCCCGCAGACCCCGGCGATCTGCAATCACACAAAAGCTTTGTAACAGCAGAATAGGAACTGTCATATACTGCGATGGGCATAGGGAAAAACTCAGAAAACTACTGAGCTGAGCAGCCGATCAGCCGCTAGAATTCACGTCCAGACAGCAGCTGAATTCCTCTTATTTATTTAGCTGTGTCCACCTCCATCGGGACTCTAACCCTAGAACCTCCCGCTAAAGTCGCAGCAGAGACAACTGAAATGCTGGCTTTGAAATACCTCGGTCTCAATCACTAGGAACCTATAGCTCAAGCGAAGTGTGAGCTTTACTTCAGAAGGGGTTGCAAAGCTGCCCCATGACTGTCCTATCAAATCCGTAGCTCCTTTCAAAAAAAGCGTCTGCGAAAGATTACTCCATCATTCGCGTAGGAATGAATGACAGCAGAGTGAAAGTTTTCACATTGTCCTTATAATTTCGTAACCGTTAACTCCAGTAGGAACCGCTAGTGTGACCACCTTCCGGCCGTTGTCATTTGTAGAGAGGACACGACTTCACATGCGAAGGAGATGAATCAACCGGAAGGGGATCCTTCTCCTTTGATACTTTTCCAGATGTTTTTCAAAGTTGTAGAGCTATAGCTAACGTCAATTCAGTCATGAATTTGGTTAGTTTGTTTTCTTAGAGCTAGCGAGTCTGTAATGGACAGCATCTCCATCGATATATGTTGATAGTTTTACTCATACTGTCCCAGAGATATGACAGTATGTCCCATTCAGCCTTTGCGAGTCCGAAGTCGGCTACGATTCAAGGGTCGAAAATCTGCCATGACACGCCTGTGGTACGTGAATACGTCCCGGTAGGGGCTGGACACAATTGAATCTTTTCGTCCTAAACATTCCATATTCGCTCAGTCACGGAATGGCGATAGTAATAGGTACGAATATATGTCTGAACCATTAGTTGTTCCATGTTCTGATGGCGAATATGTAAGTCACAATTTGATGGTAACGTTGGAATCTCATGAGGTATCAATTTAAAAAATTCTTATCAATTCGTACAACCCATGTCGAAGGGATTACAACATCAACAACAACGTTTTGTATCCCTGACGAAATATAAATATGAGCTGAAATGTCAGCGGGCAAATAATCCTTCATCTAGCCAATTACATGAGATGTATTTCACCATATATTTAAAAACTGACGGAGATGTGATAGACAAATGATGTTCCAATAATATTTGATGTCGTAGTCGCTGTATCATTACTACGTAGTCACCTCTGATATCAATCGAAAATATTTAGAAATCATCAATAATAAGCATTCGGGTCTCAGGAATCTTTCGAGCAGATGCGCCTCTAAAGGGCAGAATGCGAAATTTAGAATCGTAGTGAAGAAGCTATCAGTTATACTGGACACTCGCCAAATATCGTTCCCTCAAGCGACTGAGCATTTCCCGCCCTTCGCAACCCTATCCGCGGATTTAACCAGGGGACGCGGGAGTTGGAAGATATCTAGCTCCCGTATCACCGGGGAAGGCGGGGGAATTTTGAGACGCTTTAGAAATTTCCGGAAATATGCCAGAAAACGCGGCCATGTTGTACTCAAGCGTATGACACATAATTTTAACTCTTTTTGAAAATAAGTAACAAGTAAAAAATGAAAACAAACAAAAATAATAAAAATAAATAAAAATAAAAATAAATTAAAAATAAAAATAAATTAAAAATAAAAATAAATTAAAAATAAAAATAAAT